GCCGTTGGTACTTGTTACGGAATGGCTATGTAAAGCTATATATATATATAGATTGTGTTAAACGTGGTTAAAAAATAAAAATATTTTGACTTTGTTGTTTCTGATGACATTTGCCGACTCTCGACTTTTTACTCTCGACTCTCGACTTTTTTACTCTCAACTCTCGACTTTTTACTCTCGACTTTTACTCTCGACTTTTACTCTCGACTCTCGACTTTTACTCTCGACTCTCGACCTTTACTCTCGACTCTCGACTTTTAGATACACTCTCATAACTGTATGGAGTTTAACTCGCGCGTGTTACTCCACTGACCGCTTGCATGTAACTGTATAGAGACTATGCATGGTAAAATCGCTCATAGTCGGTTGCTTGGATATAACTCTATCATATCATGCAGTCTTGATATAAAAGGTCACAGTCAGACTCGCTGTCGTTTAATCAATCTTGTTACGTTTATTATTATACATCTATGACTTGCCACATTGGTATTTTAAGTAATGCTGCTGAATAACTGATTGTGAAATAAAAATATCTTGAAACAAAAAAATTCCTTAACACTAGATCAAACAACCAATTGAAATCTACCATGACTAGACATCATGTCGATTTATTTGTTCAAAAAATGCAGATACGTTTCGTTTCTTGCAAAACAAGTTGTTATTGTAGACGCTTTGAATACGTGGCCGAGAATTTTGATCATACATACGCTTGAATCTCTGCCTGACTGTCGTTTAATACTGCTCATTTACTTCAACGTTTAAAGAAAATGTTAACTAAACATTTTCCAGGAGTAAAATAAAGGTACAGAACTGTCTATTTGGACGAGTTTTATACAATAAAGTAGCGGTAGAATTAAAAGTAGAATTCGCTTTATTTTCACTTTAGGAGAACAGCGAGTAAATATGGCATCAAATTATCAACTTGGATATGATGACGAGAGATTTGAGTCGATGGTGGACCAAAATTTCCACTGTTTGATTTGCTATAACGTATTGAAAGACCCGGTGATGTGCCGCAGAAACCAGCACTATTTCTGCCGTGGCTGCATCACGGAACATCTTCGTACGAATTCCCATACATGCCCAACATGCGCCGACGAGCTGAGTGTCGAAACGTTCGCTGAAGTTCCAAGAATTGTGAAGAATTACTTGGATGAACGAAAGATTCGTTGCGATCATTACGACAGAGGATGTCGAGAACTCGTACAGCTGCAGAATTTAAAGCGACATGTCGCCGAATGCGGGTTTACTCCAGTCGTTTGTGGAAATCAAGGTTGTGGTGAGACAATCAGTAAAAGAGATCGTACATATCACGAGAGTGAACTGTGTCAATTTAGAAAGTTGAAGTGTCACAACTGTGGAGAAATCAGCACGATGATGGAGGGCATACAAACGGAAATCGCAAACCAGAACACGAAAATCAACACGAAAATGGAACACACGGACACGAAACTGAAAAACATGAACACGAAAATAGCAAACATCGACACGAAACTGGAAAATATGAACATGAAAATGGCCAACACCGACACGAAACAGGAAAACGAAAATGGCAAACTTGCACGCGAACGTGGAAGCGAAGTTCGAAGCGATGAATAATGAAGTGAGAGGAATGAAAATGAGTTTAAATGAAGTAAAAGATGGTTTTGATCACTTGAAAGAAGCAGTACTTGAGAAGATAGAGAGCAAAGAAAGAAAGCAGGAGGAAATCACAAGAGATGTAGGTGGCACAGCGAGTGGCGGGAGAGAAAGTCAACATATATTTGTTGCTGGTGGTGTGTGGAGAAACTCGGTAGAAATATTTAACTACCGTCAGAGATTGTGGTCTTTATTAAAGCCCATGCTAGGGAGTCGTGAGAGCTCATCTTCATTTGTTTACAATAATCATGTGACTGTAGCGGGAGGTTGGTGTCCTGATGCTGCTCTAGATAACATGATCCGAATGAACATTCACCCAGTCCCTGATCTTACAATTAAATGGAGTGATTTTGCTGCCAAACTTCCTGCCAAGGTGGGTGCACATAGCAGTGTGGTCTACAAGAATAGCTTGTTGGTTACTGGTGGTATTAATGCAGATCAAGATGTCTACTCTGACTGTATTCACGACGTCCAACTTAAACCACCTTACACGGTTAAACTGGTATCCAAGATGCCTGAACCAAGAGTTCGTCACAGCACAGTACTATGCGATGATAGTATTTTGATCGTTGGGGGAAGGAAATCATGGGACAACAAAGACAACCTCAGCAGTGTGTTAAGCTATGACATCAAGAAGAAAGAATGTCAACAGTTACCTGCGCTTCCCTATCCAGTGAGTGAAATGGCGACAGTCAAGTGGGCTGAGAATGTCGTGATCATTGGTGGGGTTGACAAGGATGGTAAAGCATTAAACAATGTTATAATTTATAACATCAAGACTGGAAACAGTCATATGTTGCCTCCCATGTTACACAAGAGGAGAGGATGTATGGCAGTTGTTATTGAGAATACAATTGTAGGACTAGGAGGCGAGGATGAGAGAGGGAATGGTTTGAAATCAGTTGAAGGTTTCAATTTTGAGCGATTTTCATGGGAGGAACTTCCTGACATGAAGGGAAAAAGATACTTGGCCACAGCTGTTGTGATCTAGACATGCTTGTATATATTATGTACAATGATATGCGACACAAAACTTTAGTATATTTTATCATCGACTAAAGAACTGCTTTACTATAAGCGCTACAATGTTGTAATCTAGACATCATTGAATAAAATGTCATATCCGTATACTGTTTAAGATTGTGTTTATCTCAGTAAGCGATCTCCGATGATTTCAGTAAAGAACAGTCATCTTGCTATAGTAGAGACCTCTCTACTAACTTTCTGCAAAGGCACACTTGGTGTATCAATCATCACCGTATGAAGTGGTCAAATTTTATTAAGTACTGAAAATTTCATAAATTAGATATTTTGATTGCCAATGGACAATGTCTGAGAGATGTCTGAGAGTGAAACGACTTAGTCGTCTCATACAAATGCGTCAAATTGACCATTTGCGTATTAGACTAAATTTTGATCTAGACAACAATTTCATCACAGCTTGAAAGAGCATCACAAAATTAGTAATATTCCAAAATTTCGTTGCGAAATGTTGTAAAATGCGGATAATATAGCCTTGCGAAGTTTGCAATTTTCAGTCATTTTAGATTACAAACGGGAAATGTTGACAGCCCGATACGCTTTGAGGCTGTCAATTTCCGGTTTGTAATCTAAAATGACTGAAAATTGCAAACTTCGCAAGGCTATATTATCCGCATTTTACAACATTTCGCAACGAAACT